CCAGAGTAGTGTTGTTTGTAAAGAGGTCCTTAAAGCAGTTTTAAACTATATCTTAATTATCATAGTTCATATAAAAATAGGATGAGATATGAAACTGTCTTGTTATCTGAACATGGACTTGTAGGATTTTTTATTTTATTTTAACCCTGGAAGTGTGTGTGTGTGTGTGTGTGTGTGTGTGATGACTAACAGGAGGGCGACCTCTGTATAAACTCTGCTTTCTGCCCTCCTGCTTCTACTCTTTCAAATATCTACTGTTTATTTGTAGATATCTACAAAGCCTTCAAATAATGAGTCTAATTTAGGCCTGTTATTATGAGTGATGTATATTACACACACACTGTTCTGCTTTCTGCATGGACCTCAGCAGCTGTTCTCACTGCTTCCATCGCGTCACGATGGAAGCAGTGAATAAAATCAAAAAAAGTAGCCTAACATCCAGAGGAGATTTAAATTAGGGAGTAAAGAAACGGTGGAGGGCAGAACGTTTGGTTCACATTTGATCATCTTAAATAACTTATCACAACGGGAACAGTTTGCAGAGCGGTGCTTTGTTGAGATCAGACCGGCCGTGCGTCACGCCTCTTTTAAACATCACTGTTACCTGAAGTACATCTCCGGAGGATACATCAGTGTACCCTTGGTTATGGCTCCTCTCTCCTCTCTCCTCTCTCCTCTACATCAGTGTATCTTCGGTTATAGCTCCTCCAGAGAGCCTCCTCTCCTCTCTCCTCTCTCCTCTCCTCTCTCCTCTACATCAGTGTATCCTCGGTTATAGCTCCTCCAGAGAGCCTTCTCTCCTCTCTCCTCTCTCCTCTACATCAGTGTATCCTCGGTTATAGCTCCTCCAGAGAGCCTCCTCTCCTCTCTCCTCTCTCCTCTCTCCTCTCTCCTCTCTCCTCTACATCAGTGTATCCTCGGTTATAGCTCCTCCAGAGAGCTTCCTCGATGCTCGATCCTCGATGTGCAATTAGAGAAATTCCTTCAACATGGCGCGCTGACATCGATTTCCGCGTCACTACCGGAGCACCGGGGAGTCGAGGAGGCTAAAATGAGAGACATGAGACACAGTTCATTGTAGAGGACATGTATGAGTCGACTAAGAGGCGAGGGCCTGCTCATCACTGCGCGCAGTTTTAATTTTGTTTGTGTTTGGGATGTATAAACTGTGTAATTGTTGAAATAGTAGAATAAAAAAACAAGTAATTTCTCTCCCTCTCTCCCCTCGCTCAGTACCCAGCCCCCCCCAGCGTACTCCCACCCCTCCCCGGCCTACAGCGTGCAGCAGCCCCCTGCTGTGGCTCATGCAGTGACGGCCTCCTACTCTCCGGCCCCGGTGCAGGCGGCCCGGCCCGTGGTCACCGCTCCGTACCCGGCCTACCAGACCCACCAGGCCCCCCCCGAGTACGCCTACAGGCAGCCAGAGCCCCCTGCCCCCCCGCAGCCCACCACCACCCCGCAGACATACCAGGTCTACCCCGACACGGTCAGTGGCTTCCTGCTTCATTCCTTTATTTCTAGTCTTTTAATTGTATTGTACCAATACTATACTGCCATGTCTTTTTATGCTGCTCAACACAAACATTTCACAACTTCAATAAAATACTTCTTATCTTCCTCTGAGGCGTCTCCCTTTCTCAGAACATGATGTGCTCATATCAGATCTCACAGAAGCTTCTGTTTTGAAAGAGCTGCACAACTAATCCTAAATATATCCAAAGCGAATATTAGAAAAGCAGTACAGTGCTTACATTTTCACTTGACCTTCTTATGTTTATATAAAACTATTTATCTGTTATGGCACATTATTATTTGACAAATTAAATATAATTTTAAAAAATCTCTAGCTGCAGCCGTACTCTCTCTGAGATTGTCTTATTGTTCCATAACATCAGCATTTAAAGGACGCTTGAATTGTTCACTGAGTGGCTTTAATGCAGTAATCTCATAACTGTGCTGCAGCTGTCTTCTTTAATATTCTTCTCATCGTATTATCTGTGATCCCCAGCAGGACAACTACAGCTACGGGCGTCCTGCCGCCGTTACCACCTACGACAACAAGCAGTACTACCAGACGAGTATTCCTGCCGCTCAGAGGACGCACACAGATAATTACTACCAGACTGGTGAGTCACTTTGTCCTTTTTAATGTCTAGAGCAGTTGTTTTAAAACTTTTGTTGGCCAAGGCACACCTATAATCATACCCTGGCAAAATACCGTCTATAACAGTGGTTCTCAACTGGTGGGTCGCGACCTAAAAGTGGGACGCGGACCCGTTTTGAGAGGGTCGCAGATGTGAGTGAAATTTTTTATTTTTTTTTTAAATACACGGTACTTATTATGTTATAGTTTGGATTCCTAAAGCTTTTAGTCTACTGTCCCATCATTCAACGGTGGTTTTCACCAAAAGTAATGTTTTTATTTTTTGGAGGGACACAATATATTTTTTTATTGTGTTCAATCTGAATTAATTTTAAAATAAAAAAAAATCTATATTAATTCTGACTCTTCTACATCCAACTCACAGGTTTATCATTGCTTTGAGAAAAAAGATTATAAATGTTCCCCTTTTAGAAGTGAAGATATGGTCATTTGTTCTGGGAATGTCATTTTCGAGCCTGAGACCTGGAAAACAGGCTCAGGGCTAAACAGGTTAAAGCCTTTTGTGATTTAAAGGGAGCATTAAAAACATAGCTTATGTGTAGGAGCCATATGTAAGGTCTCGAGGTGTTTTTTTTAAATGATTTGGTATTTCTCACTCATCATTGGTGGAGCTTTGGACGGATTTAGTGATGGTTTAACTACATCCACCTGCTCACCTGGTGGTTTTGCATGGACAGAGAGAGGGGGGGGGTGAGTCAGGAAGCTAGATTTTCTGTTGACTTTTATCGCAATTTTTAACCACAATCCCTATCGCATTGCACTCATGCAACTGGTAGGCTACTGGATTATAGTGTTTTTTGTAGCCTGTGTTTGGAATAAATGGTCAAAGGAGTGGAGCAGATTTGTTTGTGCGTGTCTAAGTGTGTTCTTCTCGTTTTTAGCCCCTTTTTTCTGACTGCCTTAAGGTGCAACATTAAGCATAAGGCGTTGTTCAATCACGATTTCTGCTGCTTATAAACTAAATGAACATGATGGCATGTGAAATTGACATTTAAAATGCTCAGAAAATGTGCACTGCATATCAAATCAAGCGCTCCGTGAACTGACTCAGACAAGCTCATTTGAAACCCTAATTTCTACATTAACAGGATTGTAGCACAGCGTGGAATTAAAACAAGTGCAATAAAGTTCTTTAATTAAAATGAATGAGCAATCGTCAACATTGATCAAAATCATCATTCATGACGTGCTGCCCTGGCCTCCTCTGTACATTATATGACACACTTTAGAGAGGGAATAGATTATATATTAGGCCTGAATTCTTGTTTTCAGTTAGAAGATGTAGTTTGTCTTAATCTGTGGTTTTGTGGGATTTAATTGTTGTTGTTATCTTAAATATCAGATCTAATTAATCCAGACTGCTCAGTGTTGCCGGTGTGCTTGTGGGTCGTCTGTCCTCTGGTATTATTTCCCTGTATTCCCTCCTCAGGCTGATATATGAGACGCAGAATGTAAAATGTGTCCTGCTGCTCATTTGCTCTGAAATGAAGATGCTTCCTGTGCTGCCAAAAAACTCTCCGACAGTCCCAGAGGAAGCGTCGCACGGATCAGATCTCTGTTGCTCTCTAATGCCCTTCCTCTCCACCTTTAATGTTCAAGGGGCTTTATTCAGAATCAGTTCAATTTAGCAGCCAGGTATATATTGCACAGTTATTAATGGCATATATATTTATATTGCACATACTGTAGTTGGTGGTTAACAACAAGGAGTGTTTGTGTTGTGGTGTGTGTGTGTCATATGCACAGCTACAGTGAAGATATGCAATGAAAAGTCACAGACTCCTCCAACAATGCAACA